ACCAAGGAGGGTTTGAGCGCCATCCAAGTAGAGATTCATATATCCGGTCCTATCATCATTTGCAGTCACCTCTCCAATGCCCACATTTTTGGCGCGCAATCGAATATCCTTGGGTGCGGCCATAATGGCATCGCCGGAAGAGATTCTGGAGTACCACAAGCAGAGGAGCCGGTAGTCGCTAAGCAGTTTCCATAGAAAATTTCTCTAGTTATAGAACCGGGAGCACTTTGATCTTGTGTAAGTCAATGTTTGCGTAACCCCCACCCTTTGCATTCTGTCATAGCACGTACACGATATCTCTAGTTACTTTAACATTGCTAACATATCTTATCACATAGCGGGGGTAAAAAAATATCATTCGTCACCGAATGTGGGAAGGGGTATGCCATTAGTGGGTTGGCCAATTTCTGTTACTGGATTGCGGTAGCACCTGCATGAAATGAGGTACTATGTAAAACATTTGCTCTGGCTCTTTTGTCTCCTTTCCTTAATCTCCTCTTGGTGCTTATGAGAACTAGATGCCCCTGGTTTTTTCAGTTTTCCCCGATGTTGTTTTTGAAGGGGCAACCCCCGTCCCGAGGGCTAGTCATGGCGAGCGTATGTATCTCATATATATTGATTCGTTTGTGTTAGAAAAATGGGGCGGGAAAATTATTACATAATGAGTTTTGGGCATTAAGGAGCAACCCCTACTCGAGTACAGCAGGTGAACTGTTGGCAGGTGTAAAAACCTATTGGGTAAATTTTAGCGTTGCTAGGGGCCACAACAGCCCCCCACAGCCCGGCAACAACCATTACTTCTAGTTTAGATGGTTTTGGGCAACCGGGCGGTGAGTGATAAAAACAGATAGCTCAAAGGAGATTTCGGTCTTGCCGTCAAACCGATCAGAATTCTATAGTTCCAAGCGCCGAAAAAAAAAAGGTGGGTAATAATATGATGATTGATTTTTTATTGACAGCAAAGTTAAGTAGGGTAATCATAGAATATCACTCGCCCCGAGTGTGAGGTTGTATGTTGAAAATTATGGTCGATCGAACGGAGATGTCAATGATTCTTACGGAGGCTTTACGGAACCAGAAGGCCTGAATGAAGAAAGAGAGAATAGAGTTGATTTGGTATACATAGAGTATAGTGAAGAGAAAGAATGAGAGAAAAGATGAGTACTGAGTATGAGAGAAGGAGCAAACGGATGAGAGGGAATTGAGCAGTTGTTCGGTTAGAGGAAGAAAAGAAAGTATACTTAAGGTAGAAATATGTGTGCAAGGCACCAGAGATAATTAGGCACTTGGGTATCCCCATGTATGTCCATGGATCCTACACGTAATCGTTCTCGTATGTTCGACGTTGGATGGCCGAAGAAGAGGGAATGAAGCTTAATTGTTTTCTACCGCACTCCGGTGCGGGTTTATATGATAAACTGGAGGACAGCAGTAAAGGAAATATTTGAGAAAGCCGAGGCGGGCATTATATGACAACCTCGGAGAAAGGAAAGAAAAACTTGAGAAAAACTTCGGAAGGAAAGATACAACACATGAGAGCCTCCGAAGAAAATAAATAACATGTGAAAAGAAAAAAGGTCATACTATAGGTGAATATGGTATGGTTGTGAGATTGTGAGACGAATAAGAGGGAGATGAAAAGGGTCAGGTGAAGCCTAACGGTGAAGAGAGTGGTGAGGAGGAATTAGTGAGAGGAGAAACTAGACGGTGAGAGACTGGTCTGCGCGGCGGATAAACACTAAATCCAACACAGAGCTTGAATCAGAGTATCGATACGCGCAATTTCTCATGCCCTTCAATACTTCCTTCTGATTCTTATTCCCGTTCAACACCAACCCTATCCCCCTCCCTTCTTACCCCTCTTTTGGCTTCTTCGTTGACCTTGATTTGGCGGTTAGTTGCCGGTAATTTCGAGGGGTGATCAATCCCGTGTTAATGAATGGCTGGTCCATTTGCTTTCCCGTGGTGTGCTATCCTCGCAAGCAACTTTTGCCGAATAAGTCATTGCTAAAGGTTCAACCGAGCTATCGCGCATTTCTACATGTAAGTTTACCGTAGGTTTGGTCGCATAGCTCATATCAATTATGCTCTGAAATCTATAGATATTCCGGGATAGGCAGGATAGAGTTGGCTTACCCTGCTGTAATGTCCTTTATAGTCTTCACTGGGGTGTAGTATGATAGGAGGAAACTAGGCGGATGACTAATTCGCATAGTTTGTGCAAAAAGTCAATTAGTCAAGTACTGTCGGGCATGTAGATGGCCCGAGGTCAGATTATGACTGATTGCTTGGGTGTCTTTGACGCGGCCAATGGGTCTCTGGCTTGTATATATAGACTCCCTTATACGATAGCAATTAACAAGGAGGAACGCTTCCCTTAACACCCAACCCGAGGTTTATCTGACGGTACCGGTGGGGCAACAAAAAGTTTACTTGTTAATGATCATTGTTCGTGGGTCGCCTGGTTTCGTTGTGCCCCAGTGCGCACCCTTGTGCCTACTCAAAGTTATACCGGATCGGCAGCACCCCCGATCAGCCGGGTGGATTGGTTTGGTTTGATATCAGCCTGGGAACATTTTGTTATTCACGGAAACCGCCTAGTGATCTCCGCCGCGAGCATCTCTCTAGGGGGCTTTAAGCGTTTTCCGTCCTGCCGGCCTGGGAGATGACGCCAGTGGTGGGTCCCCTCTGAAACCACCGGCAAGGCATATATCATACGAAGGGCCAAATTTCGGCCGCTAGGGGATTAGAGGGGAGAAAAAAAGTGAATGGGGGTCTCCGGGCATGGCTACGCCGCTGGGTACTGGCAGGTTGTGGAATCTGTGTCCACCACATCGGCTGCCGTGACAACAGCTCACTGTACTGGGCCCTTGGGTTCTAAAATTAAATTTTACCTGGGATCATGAACCAAGGGCGGTTCCTGGATTCGTTCCGATTCCTGTAAGGCGCACCCGAGATTTTGTAGCAACGGAACGGGCCATGTACGCCGCCGACTCTGGCCAAAAAGAGCACACCCCTTTTCAACAGCACTTTACCGGTGCGGAGATGCACGCCGCTGAAATCTGGAATATTGTTTTCTAAATGCTTGAGGAAAAGTAACCTGTTTTAATGCATTTAAGATGCCGGATTCGGACCAAACATCAACCCAAGACTTCGGGTAACTCGCTTCATTGTCAATGCATTTCTCCCTCCTGCGGTTTCCTAAATCACCCACCCGCTAATAGACTCGGACTAATATAAAGTGTGATTCCGAAATTATGAGTCCTAGCTTGCGCTGCACGCACATGGGGGACTACTAGGGTACAATGCGAGTAAGGCGGGCTCTTTGGGATCTCGATGAGAAGGAAATAATTTGCTCCATTTGCGGTTGGTCAGCCTGAAGCCCGACAACACCCATCCCAAGGTAATGTGGAGATATCGAGGTACGCCTGCCTTTGTGTTTTCCACTGAGTAAAAGAGTAAAAGCTGGCGTTGATTTCTCCGTTCCTGCCGATCGCTCGACCATGAGTTCGGGGTATGTGTTGGTTGCTAGGTGGGAGTGCTAGGGTAGAAAAAAGAAAGGAGTGCGACAAAACTGATTGAACCTAGACATTTACATTTAGCTTTACGTTGCACCGGATAGTGCGAGCAGATACAAAAAGAAGAAAAGCGAGACTAAGAGATCCCCCAAAGAAATTCTACCGTGGTATGATACTACAGTAGTTTACTTTGACTCAAGTCCATTCGGGAATTATGGGAACGAATTGAGAAATCCAGATGTCTTAGAAGGCGGGACTTATCCGAGAAAACTTCTAATCTGGGTCCCCAAAATGCAGGAAAGAGGAGCAGGGGAATCGAAATAGGGAATCTACTCCTTATATCTCTGACCGGATAGCATAAACCCCGCCCGTTCACCCAATATTCCGGATACCCACGAAGGGTAATCTCCACGGGGAAATCTTATCCCTCTGGGGGGGTTTAGTGGTTATCAGAGAACGGGATAATGAGAACAGCCGTTGGGTGTCATTGGACGCCGCGGTTTGGACCTGGGAGGATTCGGTGGCAGCGAAAGAGGCCATAGGTTACCCCCAGGGCTTATATCGTGCTGGGGGTTGTTGGTTTTTGGCCTTGGAGTAATTTCGCTACTCCGTCATCCCTATTATCATACCTGCAGCGACCAAGAGCTTACAACCTACCCGTATTTGCTTTTCCCCTAACTTAGTTTGTTCAAACTTAATTCTTGCTTTGTATCTACCTCCTCATTTTTTTCCGATCAGTTCCCCCCCCATCTTAGGTTTAGTTTGCAAATTTGGATGGATTGGGTTGTAGATGGAAACCGGGTATAAAGTGCGTTGCTCTGGGGTGGATACTGTTGCAAGGATTCGCGGGGTTTGATGGTCCAGAACTCACTCTCAGGATCGCTAAGTATCACTCGCTTTTGGATCCCGGAGGTTTGCCTGCCGCGTACGCTTCTCCGCTCCAGACGTATTTCACTTGCAGGATACACTGGGGATACATAAAATATTTTTCTTAGTTTCAGAGAACCTGCTCTTTTGCCGCTTCTTTTCAATTTCTATTCATCCCGAGTCTCCCGCTAAACGACTCTATTCTAACTCTACGGCTAGGGAGCCCCATATTAACCGGCGGTACTTCACCACTCACATGTCCTTCTCATTGGATGTGCACAACACATCTACTTGAAGACCGCTTCTGAACATCCTGAGTAGGCTTTGGGAAATGATAAAATTTACTGCTCCTCTTGGAGGTCTGCCTCTATCGTATCTGTTCCATCTTGCCGATGGCCCAGGCAATGGCTTTGGAAAATATCTCTCGTAGACATGCGCTCCGGACTGGGTGCTTGAGATTATTAGGAAATGCGTGAGGTCACAGGTTGGATGAGATCGGGGATGAGGGGGATGCTGGTATGGGCAAAAGGAGGAGGAATGTGTTGAGAGGGAGGAAGACACGTTTGACTCCCTAGCGATGTGGCGGAGGGAGTTCGGGATAGTGGGGAAAAAGAATGATTTCAGGCGAACTCGAACCAAAGACCGCCACTATGTTAGACTGGTGTGATAACAAACTACGCTACGGGACCGTATTAGTATTTCCCGGTCTTCAACAACATACAGCTGGCCATGTTTGTTGCTTATCATCTCGCAAGGCCAGGGGGAGTTGAGTCAATTATGAAAGCTGTAAGCATAGTGTGGTACTAGTATTATAGCGATGCCGGTGGACTACCGTTTAAAATTGAATAATTGGACGGCGTGCTATATAGTTGAACTTCCTCGGTCTGTGTGGTCAAGAAAATATTGTTTTCGATCTCGGAATAGGTAAGGGGTATGTGTATTTGTTCTGTTTTTTTTTTGCTGCCATTTTCAAAAAAGGACAATTTGGATTTTGGTATCATAATACCTGTAGACTATGATAGCACACCTTGGGATTATTCAATTTTATACGGTCAATGAAGTGGGGGTTTAGTGTTTTGTACTGTACTTGTATAAGCGCTCATTGCCCGTTCCCAGGTAAGGTTTGTCCATGTTTACTTTTCTCGGTTACCTTCTATATCTTACCTACCAGATCCACGGCTCCCCCACCGGCACAACATTGCATTCCTCTCTACTAAAGCATGTCTTCCTTTCTTACCTATTCCCGGTTAGAATAAACTTATTAACCCACCAAGTTAGCCAACCAAGCATGCCGCCTGTCGCCCCTTCCGCAATGCGGAACACATTCATCTACGCCTCCGACAATCGAGATACCGTACTCGGCGGCCTCTGGGTCGCACCAGGTATTACCAACGCCAACCTCCACTCCATGCTGGAGATTTTCTGTTTGTTTACGGACACCCTTGACCTACGTAACCATGACGGACAATTGCTTGAGGAAGATGACCGACAGCTCCAACCGGGTGATTACTATATCGTCACTAATGGTAGGTCTCTTCTATGCTTCCATTATTAGCAGCTGCTCAAGCGGAATCGGTTCCATTATTCTCGCCGAAGAAGTCCCGCTACATCGTACAATGTCGATGCAGTCCGGAACCCATACCACTGTATCCCGTGATGCTGTCGGTGCGCGAGATGGGGTATGCTTTTAAACGTGTTTTTATTTCCGGCCAGACATGTGGCTAGGCTTGGACGCCGCTCATAAGAACCATAAGAACCTCGATCAAATAAAACACACCCGTTGGTGGACCCATCCTGCAACCCTACTTTCAAAGATAGTGCCCTGGCTGGCTGCCGACGGGCTCACTGATGCTGATGGCGATAGGACCATGGCGGGGGGATGCCACCTCCTGCTGAGCTTCCCTGCTTCCTTAGCCCACCAGACCGTCCGCAATGAGCAATCGCCGTTGACTCGTTTAATCATGCTAGGTCTGGTTTGGAGCTGTGGAAATGGAACTACAGACTCAAGGAACAAGTGACACATGATATGTTGTACTGGAAAGAGTCGCTCACATTCCTAACCCCTGCGGCCGGATCCGCACCAGCATTCGCTAAGTAGAGATCAGTGTGGAAGGAGGGTACATTTTGTCAACCTTAACCTGGTATAACGTGTTGCTCCGAGAGGTGGGGGAGGCAAAGAAGTGAATCGGTTAAAATACGCCCGAGAAACAGAAATCTTGAATCCTCAATTGACTATTTATAATCGCCTATCAATTCTGGGAGAATAATTAACAAACTTGTAGGATGTGTTCCTTATAGAAGATCATGTTAGATCCGCCTGCTTTTGAGCCGAATTTGGAGGCTCGATATTGTGGAAATTTGTGCGCTCAGTCTTTGAGTACAATTCACAAGGAGGGTCACTCAGGTCTGCATCTGACCCACCCCCTGGTCAAATAGGCTGCTTTAGTAGAGTAGAATCAGCTAGGCCACAAAACTGCACTACAATATTAGGCTCACGGGAGGACCTAACGGCATTTGTTCGTCTCGCTTAGGTGACATAAATTCCTCAGCCCCATATGCCGAACAAAAAGAAATATCTAGTTGGTCCGCGAGTCCTGTCATTATACCCACAAAAGCATACCTAGTATTCCATACCGGTCTCGCTGAACCTATCAGGCACTTGGAGCGCTCCCCATGGCCATTTACAGGGTTTCCCACCCAGGAACACTCAAGTGACCTCGCTTCCAAGATCTAGGATGCTAGGACAATCCTGTGTGCAGTCATATTATATGATATGGTTCCGGAAGACAAGAGTTGGGACCACTTTTCTCACAAAAAGTGTGACAGTTATGGATGCAACGGCAACCGTAATGCTTATGTTAATCCTTATTACAACATGAATAACAGACTACTTTTCATATTAATATCTGCATTACGGTTGCCGTTGCATCCATAACTGTCACACTTCTTGTGAGAAAAGTGGTCCCAACTCTTGTCTTCCGGAACCATACCAAATGTGTCAACAGCGAGATACTGGAGAGAGCGAGGAAGTCCACTCCAATCATCTTGAGCATGGGACTGAGTCGCCTAATGGGAAGTTGGTCATTTGAATAATATTTCGGAGGCCCTCAATATAGACAATAATGAACCGGTGATAGTGTGTTCTAAAACCAGAACTCATACTTGATTGTTACAGGCAATGCGTACGATGCCTTCAAAAATATCTTAAGTCCCACGGCGCCAAAAGCCTAGCAATTCATTTAGAACGTGCTTATTCCCGTGTTTGCTATCTTATCAGTTATCGATTAAGTCAATTTAAGGTACTATCTGCTATCCCAGGCACTATAATGCACCCGATATTGCGATCGATTGATTTCACATACGGACCCAATGGCTTGTTGGGTTGACCCGGGTTAAGGCTGGGTTGGGTTGGGTTGGGTTGGGTCCAACCTTCGCTGGGCTTGGGTCGGGTCGAGTAGACTCATTTTGAACCCGGGTCAACCCATTGGAAGGCTTGGTGGTGTGGTTGCAGGGATAAACTTCACAAAGCGGATAAACGTCAGTCTCTTGCCGAGTGATGTACCGACCGCACACATCTTGCCGGGTGGATATTAGCCAATGTATGCTTTTAGGGACGCTTAGGGTAGGCGGGGTTGTGAGGCTACAGAAGAGAGGATACAGGGACAGAAAAGAGAAGGCGCGGGAAGTGTTCATAATTGGGTTGAAGCCGTCTGCACAACTGAGGGTTTTTGAGAATAGCTTGCATGGCGTGATTCTGTGGAAAATAGTAACTGTGTTGGGGGAGAGGAGAAAGGGAGAAAGCCCAGAAAACCTAGCAGTGCTATGTACTTGTCCGCGGACTAAGGAAGGTAGTGAAGACCTCCTACGCCGGTAGGCCCTCATCACCTTGATGATCTCGAAAATCCTGTGTACTCGCAATCGTCAAATATACGGGTAGCAAGCAAAGGCAATTGGGCAACATGGAGGTTATTTTGTACGTGGATCTACGGCGACGATCGACGGCAGCGATCGACAGCGAAACAGCGAAACAGCGAAACGAAACGCCAAGTATTCACACACGAAAACGATTGCACAACTCAGGAACGTGAAAAAGGTTTTTCTTCCGTTACTACAACATCAACCAAGAGTAAAGACAGGAGCAAATATAACAAAAACAAACGAGTTCTTCTATTGTTTCAAACGGGTTTATGCTATTGCTTGTATGCCTTCCCTTCCCTTTCTCAGGCTCCCATGCTAACAAAGGAAAGACAAACTCCCACTGCCCGTAGCCTCTGGGCACTCAACTTTCCGGCTTTCCATACATTCTTTTTGCTTTTCCGTACATTTTTTCCGGCCGATGAATTGGTCCAAAACCTCCGCGCATTCCTGCATCTGAAATGCTTTCTCGAAAAGCTAAAACATGCCCGAAGCTAAAAGGCGTCCCTAGAAACTATCCGAACAACAAACTATCGTGAGAGGATGCCGAGCAGCACCCCCCGATTTCCAACAGGTACGCTTCCTGAAGGAGCCTACAACAGCATTGGGTTGTCACTAACACTCCTATTCCTTAAGTTGTTTGTCATGTCAATGGACACGTAATGGCAAGGAAAATGTATGGAGGAGGAACAGTACTTAGAGCTCGGTACTCTCCCTCGTTTGTTGTAAACCCCCTTACCACCTACCCACCTTCAGTTACCCAATTTCCCGGCACCCCCTACGACTACACAAATGAAATCAAAAAATTTCTGTATGTCAGAGCACTGATTGGAGTCCGGCAGTACTAAGGTTACTAACTTGGTCCTAATGAATTACTCAGATATTCTCAGAACCTCCGAGGCCCCAATCGCAGTTATTCTTACTCAGTGGGGGGTAGCAGCCATGAAAATTGCCGATGCGCGTCTCCTGCGGGTAATGACCGTCTCCGCAAGGAGTAGCGGGCGGGGGAGGGGAGGGGCAAGGATCGTCTCCTGGAGGAAACGCTACGGGTGGAGGCCCTACAGCAACAGACCGACCTCCTCCGGGAAGTCAAGAAGCTGGCTCCTCCGGGAACTCAAGTAGGCTCCCCCCCTAGCGCCCCCGACCGCCCGAGGGGCTCGGGAGATCGGACGGGGCAGGGTGCTAGGGCGGGTGGGAGGGGGGGATAGTGACGGTCGTGGGTCGGGCTTGGTTCACATTTTGCCTGTAATTATTAATATTTTTTATTATCGATGGGAACCTGGATCATGAATGGCCCGCTTCAATTTGACCAGATGTGTAACACACCGTATTGGAGGTCGGCCCTTTTCCATGCACACCCCATGTCCACTTACCATTATCATTACCCAGCAGGAGAGAGTGCAACCCTGACGCTAACATGCAGATACGACGTTCTGCAGCCCTTTCTCAATAAGCATCATTGGTTAGCAACGGTAAATAACTATAATTGTGCTACTCAATGGGTTTGGAGATGAAAAAGGTCCCTAGAACAGCGCGCAACCGCTGTCCACATAGATCTACCGCCCACACAACCGCCATTGGTACTGCCAGTGCCCCATGTTTGCCTGATATCTATAGCTCAAAAGTTAATCTATTTAAAATATCTCTCCACTTACGGAATCTCTAGCCTATTTCTATTGAACAATGGGGGGAAAAGAAATCTAAAATGGTGGAAGAGGAGCCTTAGCCTTAGCCGTTTGAAGTTGGGCATCTTTTGATCAGATGTACAGGTCAA